TGCTGTTGTTGTTGTTGTTGTTGTTGTTGTTGTTGTTGTTGTTGTTGTTGTTGTGGTTGCCGTTGTCGTTGTCGTCGTTCTTGTCGTTGTCGTCGTGGTCGTTGTCGTCGTTGTTGCTGTTGCTGTTGCTGCTGCAGCTGCTGCTGTTGCTGTTGCTGTTGTTGTTGTTGTTGTTGCTGCTGCTGCTGCTGCTGCTGCTGCTGCTGTTGAGGGTGGTGGTGGTGGTGTTGTTGTTGGCACACAGTTATAAATCACACATGCACATAACACATTCGACAAACTGAATAAACCCACCAGGCACCAACCACAGGCACAACACACATGAACTAGACCACACAAGTGGCGACTATTTCACCCTGACCAAAAACGGTCACGACTCCACGACCATGTCACCTTGCACATGGTTCCAGGTCCCTCCCGCCTGCGCATTTCGTTGAAATGCACAGCACGTGATAGCCGCGTGATGAGGAGCTTGGTGAGATCCAAGCCTCTGCCGGCAAGGAGGAACAAAAAACGTGTGCTACTGTGGGTGGACAAAATCCTGCACCACTTTCAAAACCATGGGAAACCATTGTTCATTGGCATTTGCAGGGGAATCATCATTCCAGGGTTTCTTAGGTGGTGCAGGATTTCGTCCATCCACAGTATCTCAGTGGGGGCTCCAACCAACTTGTTCTCCTTGGAGATTCCTGTGAAGGGCAGCAAGACAAACATATACTTGTGAGCTGGCCCCGATGTGCCAGCATAGCGCATCTGCGTCCAGACATCCCCCCGCCATCTCTCGCTGAGGGTACAAACCAGTTCTGAATCTGGTTGAAACTGCAACTTGAGACGTGCATGACATCAGACTTGCTTCTTGTGGCAAGACTTGCTAAGCATAAAGCCTGCTCACAAAATGGACTTCCAGACGTGACTGCTGGGTCCGCTTCTGTGGTCATTGCTATGTTTCTTGTCCCGTGTTTGGCCTGCCAGTTGCCCAGCGACGCTGGTAGAAGGGGGCATTTGCAAGGCTAACTATTTTTAGTGAGAAACCACCGTTTGGCCTTCCTGTTGTTCTGTTGTTGGAGAGCATGTGCTCCGCATGCAGGAACCAACGAAGAAAACGTACAAAGGGTGCTGAAAAAGCGGGGCGTAAACTCCATGCTCTCGTTTGGTGACGTTTGCTGGTTTTGTAGCTTCATGCTGCCGCCTGATAGATGTGTGGGTTGCCTTCCAGCTTTTGCGGGTTCTGTCTTTTGGCATTTCTTCAGGCTCCAAGACACAAACCATCGGACCAATCACCAAGCCACGACAACACGCGGAACTTTGTTTTAGTATTAAAGCAATTGCACAACTGCAAAAACCATGCCTGAAACTATGAGCTAACCAAGGCCAACCAAACGAGCCACCAACCAAGCGACCCATCCCTCCCAAAGTAGTGACAAACACATTCGACTAAGCACAAAACTACTACTGCCTGGCATAAACATTGCACCTCCTGCAAGTTAATGCACATGGGACCCCCAAAAAAGTTCTTCTCTGAAGGAACCTCTCCTTTCGAGTAGGTTGGCTTTTGGTTCCACGCCAACAACCGAACACTTCCAGTTGGCCCCCACTGCAGCCCGGGAGCCGCTGGATCTGTGCCGCAGTCCTCCTTCGAAGGCATCGCCGCCCCTGAGACTCGGCATTCTAACCTCTTTGGACCTCGAGCCTAGAAGCCCTCCAAGTGAAAAGTGCACCAAACCGGTGAAAAGCAAACCCCATGCCCATGATGGAGGCTCACTTGCCACGAAACCTGAACGTGGCGGGTTCGCGTAGTGGCCTGTTTGGGCCGTTGCCTATGGCGATCGTCGGTGGAAAGATGTGGCGCTTGAGTGGGACCTTTCAATCGTTGGTCTTGCGGACTGGGAAGAGATCGTTTCCCGGGTCCATAGCCTAGGTCCTCCGGATTAGAGAGGTTAGCAGGGTGCCAACTTTCTTCTGTAGACTATCCTTAGTGGGGGAGCCCTCCCCAAAAAAGGGTAAAAGGGCACTACTGGGGGACCTAGTAGCTATCCCAACAGGCAGGTCAATCACGGTGGTTTTCTGCAAGGAATCGCCTGCCGTACACAATTCCTCGACAAAAAATGGCTCCTGCAAAGGGATTTCACCCTGCATGGCCCAAGGATGGAATGCCTCTCTTCAACAATGGCCTTGCTCTTAAAGAATCCGGAAGAGAAACTGAATAAGGTGAGGGTCACTGGATTTTTCTTTAAAACTTGCAATTCACCAGTGGTGTCCATTCACCCTGGCAGTTTTTGGGGCTCCAAAAACGGAAATGGAGGAACCCCCTGGAAGATGGGTACTCTCAAAATAAGGAGCTCAATCATCCCTTTCCAAGTCATATGAAGGCTTTGGGACCCAACTTGAGACCGTAAGTGTCCGCAACTGGAGACTCGCGGAACCGCGCATGTGCTCTAAACATTGAACCGGTTGATTACGAATATTACCACTTCAGAGTGGTAGGAACCCCTTGAGTGAGAACAACTGGGGCAAGTTTCGCCCTGATGTTAGGCCCTTGATCAAAGATGGTCCGTCCCCCCCAACGAACCTCACTTCCCGAGTCCGAGTGGATTGGTCAAACAAAAAGCCCAAACTTCCTTTTGTTACCACCAAAATGGTCAAACAACCCAAAAAGTGACTAAAATCCAGAAACTCATGGAGTGAGACAAACCACCATGGTGGGTGTCCTTTTCCCCTTGAAACCAACCTGATAGAGGGTAACCTTCCAGGGGTGCCTTCCATTTCCATTCTTGCCATCCTTCTTTCTAGCAAACCTCCGGAAACCCCGGGAAATTGGCTGTTTTCTTGGAAAAGAACCATGGCTGGAAAAGGAATGGACAAGGAATCAATCCCTAGAAAATCAACCCCTAGAAACCTCAGGAAGCGACTAAAAGGAAACCTCCTGCCACGCCTGCGGCCAAGCACAGCCACAGGAGTCTCCATCTCGCAAGGGGCCTTCGGGACTTGGGGGGGAGATTTTTGGGTCGTTGAAGCTGCCGTCAGGGGCTGCCGCCTGCTTCTTATACATGTGTGTGTACACGCATATCTATACGTGTAGGTACATATACAGAAATCCCTATATATATACACAGAAATATACACAGGGGAACCACAAAAAGAACTAGGAATGGTGTTTTTTGACACTGCCAAACTGGGGACTGACTGGGGCCCTGTTAGCTTCAGCAACTGTTCTTCCCTCGCGCACAAGTTGATCGCAACACCCAGCCCGCTGAGCCAATGGGCAACTTCTGAACTAACATGAAGGGTCTATGTCTCACACGCGGCAAAGAATAGCCAATGGTGCCACCCCTCAAACACCAGAAGGGGCAAGCCATGTTTAGTGAGCTCACTGTCTTTCTCCTGTTGCTTGTTCAAGGCACCAGGTGCGAACTGCCAAAGAGTCTCCTCTTTCTTTGTTCGCGGAGTTGGGTGGTTCAAAGTCAATCCTCAATCATCATCCACAAACGGACATTATGTTCCTTATCTCACCGGCTGAGTGGATGGTCCAAAAAAAGTTTAAACTTTATATCTACTACTAAAATGGTCTTCCCAGAAAGTTTAAGGTTCATGAACTCAGAAAGTGAGTTATTGTAGTGTCTCACAATTGGGACGGATCAGGAAGGGCCCGTTTTGAAGAACCGAAATTGGAGGGCTAGTGCCTGGTGTGTGGCAGGCGAGCCGCGCTTTTCCTTCTGAACATAGCTTCAACTGGCCCAAACCACCACTTCTTGAGGCACAAAATGCCCCGTTCCTTTACACATCCTGCAGGTAACCCCCCAAAAAAACCAACGTTTTTTGACGAAGCCAACAGAAAGGGACCGGCCTACAGTTGGCCTAATATCATTCTTTGCGGCCGAATAAATTTTGGGATGCCTAGTAAATTGTTGGTTGATACATGTCCCCTGCAGTTCTACAAAAAAGTGGTCATGGCCATTTGGAAGCAAACAAGCATAGCCTGGGAAACTGCGAAATTGCTGTGTGGAAGGGCCAGGCATGTAAAGGGTCCAAATGCCTGCCTGTGAATAATATGTACATATATTGCTGGGTCTCAATGTGTTGTTGGAGCATGGTGTTTGTTCTACATTTTACCCGTGTTTCAATCACAAATGAGGCTTAAGACACTCCGTTGACAATTCATCTTGGTACAGAAACTCGACTGAAGAAAGCCCCCCATGTATGCTCATGAGTCCAAGCCCTGCTTAAAAAAAAGAAACGTCCCGCGGGCCCTCCAGTCCCTCAACCAAAAGCGGGTTTCGAAGGGTTCACGCTTTAGCTCACTTCCCGAGTGCATGGCCCCCCAAAAAAGGTCCAGGAACTTTGTGTTGGCCACCAAGATGGTCCAAGCCCAACAAGTCTACAAAGGTCCAGGAGTCTAGGGGCTTGGGAAGCGAGTGTTGCAACCGTGACTTGAGGCCAGCCGCATGGCTCGGCCCACACCCAGCGGATCGGCCAAGGCGAGGGGATCGGTTCGCTGGAGCTGGGAGTTGTGGACTTGGAAGCTGGCCGGCCTGGTTGGCCAAGATGCTTGGGAGCCTGGGAAATCCCCATGTAAATGTCCTTCACGCCATGGTTTCTGCCAGAAGTTGGCAAGGGTCTGGTTGAAGCGGTGAAGAGTGGCGAAACTCGGCTGTGACTGCACATGTGTTTGCAAGAGCTTAAGCCATCAGCGCCCTGGCTTCGGAACTCATTTCTCTTGAGCCCAGTCGCGGCGCGCAGGGAATCTTCGGCCCTTGAAGCGACATCGAGCCCGCAAAAGTCTCACGGCTTGGAGTTGAACAGGGCGCAAGCAACTTGAAATCTTTGGGAGCCCAAATTCAGCGCATTCCCCCACCGGCTTCACAACATCCAACCCAATGCAACTTTAACCCAGTTCAGCTTTAAACCCACCCAGGGACAACCCCGCAGTGACCAGACATTAGGTTATTGAGGCTTCCCCTTGCTCGCTCGATTTCCTTCGGAACAACTCATCCGCGAATCTCCTGCATGCGGCATCCGAGGATGGTCAACGACTCGACGCCCCTCAGCCATCAAGAAATGCGCCGCTTGGCATGGGGCCCGATGGTCCTTCCCTTCTTTCCAAACTGACTGACTCCTAGTTGTTCGCCTCAGGGTCTGGCAACCCTCTAAAACCACCTGCCATACACGGCCTTGAGAACAGGGCGATGGGCTAGAACGCCCCCTGAAGCTTCCTGAGGTCGGCGGCGTTAGTGCCCTGGCAATCTGCCCAAGCAGCAGCGGGTCCTTGCCACCGCGAATTAAGCGATTCAGCGGAAAAGTTTTGAGGGCGGGGTTGACCATAGGGAGGATTCCTTTTTGAGACACAAGGTGGCAAAAAGACTCCCGTGTCCCGGCCCTCAATTGATGCGCCATATTGTGCTGCCATTTTCGTGCAGCAAATAGGAGGGTCGCCAGTTTGACAATCCAAGTCGGCCTCCCGAGACCGAAGGATCTTCCAATGGAAGCCATTTCGGGGGGAGAAAGCCATCTCACAGTTAGACCAACCCGAGAGCTCTGCTTTTCCGCAGTGCGAATGTGTGACCGGGCACAGCTCTTTCACGAATGCACTGGGTTCTCTATTCCCCTTCAAACGTCATGCCCAAAGAAAACTCACTGTATGCTGACCCACAGGGTGTTCAGCGTTAAGATGTGTTGTCTGGTGGAACATAATTCCCAGTTTGGTATGACCATGGCGATCATGCGGTGTTTTCCTTTGGGTGTCCGTAGTTTTGATGGGAGGTACATACATGGCAAACCAATCTGCTGCAGCAGTAGTGTGTATGTGTATATATATATATACACATATTTACTAATACATACACACACATATGTATAAATATATATATATATATACGCAGGGTACTAGCAGCTAGTGACTCAGTGAATGGAGAGATCGCTGCAAGCTTTTCTGATCGATCCATGCACGTGGATGCAGCGGACTGCGCGGTGTTAGGCCAGTTTTGCCTCATGGAGTGAAACTGCGCTTGGACATCCATGATGGGTTTGTCGTAGACTCCATACCCCCCCGAAAAAACATAAGCTGTTTGCTTGAAAGCGGGGACAAAATGATCTTGACAATGGTTGCCCTTCCGAGGCAGGGTATCTGGAAGATCACTTTCTACTTAAAAGGACCCCCTGTCAGCTGCCATGTTAGTGGGAGAGAGGGTAACTGGTGTCAAGGTCACGCAAAAGGACAACAATAAGAACAAATAAACCATCTGCCTCTGCTCCAAAGATCGGAGTCTTGAGTCCGGGTGTCCCAAGCACACGGAAATCACCCTGCGAGGTGCCATGCCCAGTGATCCGCGGCCGCGGAAGAAATGGATACGCTTTTGACCTGGGCCTTGCACGGTCTCAAGGGACACAAGTTTCCTACGCAAGGGACACCAGGCCCCATATTACCCCTTAAACATGACCCCACCAAAAGGAGGCTCACTTGAAACTGGACCAACAGGTGATACCACGGAAACCAACATAAGGCCGTTAGGCAAGGACAGAGCGACGAGGGGCAAATCCTCTCACTGCTTCCTTGGCGCGCAACATGCCGCAAGACAACCTCCACTCACTTCCCAAGTTGACTGGCCAAAAAAGTTTGAACTTTTTATTTACAACTAAAATGGTCTTTCCAAAAAGTTTAAAGTCCACCAACTCAGGAAGTGAGTCCAGCAAATCTCCGGGAAAGACACGTGCAGTTGTAGTGAAGCCCCCCCCCCCTTCAGAGCTGCTTGTCCCAAACTTCCAATGGGAGAGCAGCTTGTCCCTCCCCCCCACCCCCCCCGCCCCCTCAGAACAAATCCAATGGTTGCTTTTTGGAGGAACAAGTCACAGGCCACTCAAAGACAGCCGCTCGAAGTGCCCCTCAAATCTCCCGAGCTGCATGAGGATCTCCCCCAGGTCGGAGACAACGCGGCGGGAGCCCTTGTTGTACACCTGCCCGGTTCTCCATGCTACAGGCTGATGACGTGAATTCCCGTCTACGGCCATAGTGATCAAAGGTGGTTTCAAAGGGATGGCCCCAGCAAAAAGAAGTGGGAACCACAACTCTGGATGGCACAGCATTGCCTCGAGCATCTTCCAGGCGACATCTGTTGCAAACTTCTATTTCGAGGGAACCTTCTCTCGCAGCGCTGCTTTTCCATCCATCTCTGCAACCTGCTCTTTGACAAATTCGGTAAACCAAGTTACCACAAGATGCTAAAAGTGAAACCACCAAGTAATTCTCAGCCAAGGCCAAGGGTCGCAACTGCTTCGCCTCTCAGCCAAGGCCATGGGCTCCAAATCACTTGCTGGTGCTCAGCAGGGAATGGGGGAATGACCCCTTTTTACCCATCCCCTGAGCCTGGGTTCATTCGAGCTCATTCCACGCTACCCCCAGCGAACCTCGACGCGACCGGCTCTTTGCCTCCACCAGCGCTTTCTCCAAGTCTTCCGCCACCGCAGAGTGGAGGAACTCCCGGGGCGGCGCCGACTTCAGGCCCGGGTCCTCGGCTTGAGGGGAGCAAAAACAGGGCAACACCGAAATGGAGTAACATCTGCATATCCTGCTGGGTTAGTTTGCTCATAAGTTTGAAGTTTGAACATGTGCGTGCGTGCCTGCGTGCGTGCCTGCGTGCGTGCCTGCGTGCGTGCGCGCGCGCGCGTCCGTGCGTCCGTGCGTTGCGTGCGGGCGGGCGCGCCTGCGTGCGTGCGTGCATGCGGGCGCGTGCATGTGGGGCGTGGGCGCGGGCGCGGGCGTGGGCGCAGGCGTGGGCGTAGGCCTGGGCGTGTGCGGAGGCCGCCTCAGCACAGAAATAGGTTGATGCAAGCAAAACATCGCGCACACACTTAACGCAACAAAGCAAGCACACACACACACACAAACATCAAGCTTCCAATTAAAAACATACGTACGCAAACACGCACACACACAGAGCAACACACAAACAACCAACAATACACAATAAAACAATTGGCAAACCAACAACAAAATGCGGACAGGCCCACACCAAAAAACATACAAACACACAAGCGCACAAACGAAACAACACGCACACACACGCACATACATATATATATATATATGTATATATATATACTACACCTACAAACTCACACACACACACAAACAAACACCCGAAGAGAAACCCAATCACAACAATAACGCGTGTGACACATTTACAATTCAAGACATACATGCGCTGAAGATTCATGCTCGTGTTTCTGATTGCGATTGTGTTGGTTTGTGTGCGAGCGCGTGCATATGCTTTTGTGCGCGAATGTGTGTGTGTGTGTGGGCGGGTGGGTGAGTGGGTAGCTGGGTGAGTGGGTAGCTGGGTAGCTGGGTAGCTGGGTAGCTGGGTAGCTGGGTGGCTGTTTGTGTTGCGGGTGCGTGCATGCGTGGGTGCTTGGGTGTGTGCATAAACACAAACACACGCACACACACACACAAAGCGCGCAGTGCCAAGGTTCCGTTGTCTGAGGGGCTTTGGACAGCTCGCCCACGCTCTTCTTTCCTGCAGATCGTGAGGCTTGCAGCGGAGGGACTGGGACATCTACCCACATGGCTGTGGGTCAAAACACTGGACCCCTGGTGAACATCAGAATAGATGGCAAATGGATGTTCATCCACCCCGAAATGGAGCCGTAGGTTTTGCCCCATTGAAAACGACAGCGCACAAACGGTGTATGCCATAGGATTGTAATTCAGCGGCAAATCGCGAGGTTAAAGGCCTATGGATTTGGTAGTCTTATCATTGGGTGTCCGTCTCTCCAACCCACGTGGGGCACCAAATTGTTTGCCTGTGTGAGCCAATTGGTCCGCAGCAGCCACATGCAATGTGGCCGTGGTCAGGCCCAGAAAGGTGCCAAACAAACACGTGCCCCACTGGTTCTGGGCTGCCCTCAGATCCCCCGCTAAAAGTGACTGAGTTTTAGTGGGTTAAATGGAAACTAGCACTAAACACCAAAAGTCTAAACAGGCTAAGGGGAGGGCTGGGAGCCACCAAATGTTGAAAACCTTCAAACAGGCGGCGCGAAATGGCTCCCGAACCTGTGTTTTCGAATGTGCCCCTGTTGGGCTGAAGAAACCACCCTGGGGCTGTAGAGAGTGCAGGGCTTTCAGAGCAAAGTAAGACCTGCCCATAAAGAAATTAGGACAATCAGTCTTCCCGAGTAGCGCAAACTGCCAACACCCCCCACAGACGCTAAAATCAGAACCAAAGACATCTGACCTGGTTGCGGCATACTTCATGGCGAAAGGACGACACTACTTTTGCTCAAACTTGAGTCGAACACTGAAAGGAGCCGGGGCAGAAAGCCCTGTCAATGTTTTGGAGGCGTCCTTTCACCCCGAAAGCCTTCAGACGGCCCAAGCCTTCCAATCCCGGTTCATTGAACAACCGCCATTCGCGTAAGGCTGCCAAGCACGGATTTCTGTGGGACCGACGTGCATCTAACATCTGAACAAGCCTACAACCCCGGGCTCAACAGCAAACCTCTGGTGTACCCTTCGGCCAATGCCAAGTGTTGCATACATGCTTTGTATCCCTTATGCATGCAACACCCTCTTGCCATAAGCAACAAGGATAGTAATGCAAACGCCTACCCCGGGATCGAAGGATTGAACTTAGATCACCACAACCCCCCGCCCATAAATAGAAAAACATCTGCATTTCTGGCACAACCCCCTAAGAACAGTGGGCTACACTCGAAGCAAAGGAAAGTAACTACCGGCTCGTTTTCGATCCCTCGTCAACAGACCACACAGGGTCGCAATTTGCGGTTGCCTGCCTCTAAATGCCATCACCAACCCTTTGCAGGCAGAGCTTCTCTCAACCTTCTCCATTCTCAGGAGGGGCTCTTTCAGAAGGGCTACGCCTGTGCTATAACTTTCCGTCTAAGCCAATATTGACACAAACGGCCCGAGCCATAGGTGACCTTTTGGAAAACTGGATGGGTTTCCCTGGTAAATGGCCCTAAACCAGTGAAACCCATCGAACATTTTAACCAAACAAACCAACATATTCCTTCTGTGGATGAATCCATCTCGCACCACCTGAGAAACCTGGTTTCTGATGACTCCCCCCGCAAATACCAACAACCGTTGTGGTTTCAACCATGGCGTCTTAGGCGGTGCGGTTAAACCTACTGTGGGTGGACGAAATTCTGCACCACCTGAGAAACCCTGGAATGAGGATTCCCCTGCAAAAATACCAGCAAACAATGGTTACAACCATGGAGAAAAAGTGGCAGGATTTCGTCCATCCACAGTGGGGCCTGCATGTCAGTTCAGAAGTTGCCCATTGGCACGGAGGGCTGGGTATTTTGTGGGCGATGCCTAAAAAGGAGCTCTGTTTTTTGGGCCGGATTCTCTGGTTCTGACTTCTTTTTTGACTAAACAAACCGAGAAGGAGCCTACGGACGGTGTTTTTGGGCCGGATTCTCTTCTTCTGACTTTGTTTCGACTAAAAAAACCGATCAGGAGCGAGCCTATGGCCCGAGTCAGCCGTCGGCGTCGGTTCGCGCCGCCCGGCGCCTGCGAAGGCCTGGCCTAAGAGCTTGCAGGGCTCGGAGGGCCGGCGCTCCGCCAGCGCCCAGAGCTTCTCTTGGAGCTCGCCTCGGAGGGATTTTGGAGCCGCGGACACTTCTTGCCTCAAGAAAGGAAAATCACATTTCCGCGGACGGCACAAGAAAGTAAAAACGGTTTGATTTGCCTCACAATGCAAAAAGTGAAGCGCAGGAACTCAGGAGGATGTGCTTTTTTTGTTGTGCAGAGGGCCACTCTGTTGACATGAAGGAGAAACAGCAATGGTCTATAATGGTCTGCAAGCAGCTCATTGTCTCACTTTCTGCTATTGTTTTTAGTTGTCGTCAGAAACCATTCCACCAAACACATAAATTGTGCGACCATGGCTTTCCGCCTGTGATGTTGCGGCCTTCTCAATCAAGTGACAAGCGGTGTTAAGTTTGTACTTGTACCCCATGTAGAGGTGGAATGCGGTGACAATGCCTTCATCCGACCTTGTCCGAGAAATACTTGGGGAGCTGCCCATACGGGGTAGTGAGGGACCCCGCAACATGCCATGTTGGACACAGCCCGACATATAACCATATATCATTTTATACCTGCATATGTGCGGAATATCTTCAATTACTGGGATGTGGAAATACACACTTATATCTAACCTACCTCTGTAGTTATCTTCCTTATAGTTGTATAGCGTATTGTTGTAGACCTATGCACTTGTGACCATGGCAGCATATGCCGACCGGGCGCCTGCCTTACGCCACACGTTCTTGTGCCTCTGCGCCTTGTTCTGCTCAAATGACGGATCTGACATTTAAGCAGCATGGGAGGAAAGGCCGTAGGCAGGGCACTGCTCACGCACAGCAGCTTCAGCTCGCTCGCTCGCTCGCTCGCTCGCTCGCTCACTCACTCACTCCCTCACTCGTGCAGTCGAGACGAGTCCAAGCAGACCCTCCTTTCACTGGCAGAAAGCAAATGCCTCCACCCCCCCCGCCCCAATTCCGCATTGATCCAGCAAGGGCCAACCATGGCCCACCCAACAAAAACGGAAGCAGCCACTGTGGGTCGGAGGTGCCATTTACCAAGTCACGGCGGACATTCTGGTCCAAGAAGTCTCGCATCTGGGTTGCCTGCATGTGGCAGGGCCCGGGTTACAAGGCCCCACGGTCTAAAAACCATCGGGAACGACGCGATCTCTTGTGGGCTACAATCATTCCGACGGGACCGGCTGGAGCAAAAGGGGGAAGTTCGCAACCGGGCATGCCGTAATTCAGACACGTATGGCTTTCAATCTTCGATCGGGTAAATTCATGTGAACCGCTATTGTATATCACGTGGACCCCTGGTTGGTGGAAAACAAAGTGCCCAAAAAAAGAAAAAAACCAGCAAGATGGGGAGGTATTTCTGGGGAAGAAAACGGACACTTGTGAAACATTCGCCCGCCTGTTGCTCAAATTCCGCTGCCATGTCGGCGGCAGATGCTGATATATCATCCGTCGGCGGCGGCATTGGGCAGAGAACGAATCTGCAATGTAGAGACTTGCGCAAAGCTGGGTTTTTGGAACGACCCCCCTGCGAAAAGCGAGCTTCACTTTTTGGGGGTTTCATTCGGAAACCCCGAGTTGATTTCAACCAAAAAGTTGAAGTCTAAAGATCCGTTGCCCAATAGCATGTCAAGAAAGGACCTAGAGGTGAATGCTACCACGCCACAGTCCAAAGTTCGAAAGGCTTTGGCCCGGTCAGGAGACGCCCCGAGACTTTTGGTCAATGGGACGCTTCCGGCGAAGCGATAAAATGGATGGACTCCGGTTGCTTTGGACCGATTGGTTGCAACAAATGTGACGCTTTCGGCGGGGCGCTAAGATGGATCCTGGATTCCGGACTGGAAGATTCCTAGAAAGAATCCTCGGCAAGCTTGAGAGAGCGGCGAGACCCAAAGCCACGAAGCCTGACCCCCGCCCCATTCTGGGCAGGTCAAACAAGGGCATGGCCACATTGACTAGGTCCTCCAGTAGAGAGGTTAGAAAAAGGGTACCAACTTTTCTCTGTCGTCTATTTTAGTACGGGAACCCTTCCCAAAAAACGAAATGGTAAAAAGGGGCACTACTGGGGGGACCTAGTTGAGTTTCCATACGCCCTGAGAGACTGTTGGGCAAAGGCTTGCCTTTGAACATCCTGCCTATTGCTTTTCTTAAGGCAAGCCCAGGCTTGCAGGCGATGCTTGCATGGACGCAACGCTCAGAACGCCGACTAAAATCAAGCTGTGGGTCACCCCCAAGACCTCCAGGGCTCCTTGAAGAGATTTCGCAAATGATCTGCTTTAGGCTTTTGATTTGGGTCCTCAGGTCTGTGGGGTCCAAATTTATCCTTGCGTGTAAACTCGGTGGCCAAATCTGCGAAGCCCTGCTTAAAGTTGAACTTTTAATGGAAAACCCATTAGCTGTCAAACAGTTAGAGTCCTAACATCCCTTGGCAAAATGCACCAAAGTAAATCTTTGCCATGGGCGGAGGGAAACCGGTGGCAAGCCACAAAAACCGTCCTCTGGGCAGCAGCAGCTTAGATTCTTCAGAATCCCCGCGTCCACCCTGGCATGGCAGAAAAGCTTGGCCGCACACTTGCACGCGGAACAATGTTGTGGTGAGTCTGGCTTATAGTTGGCCTGGCCATTTGCTTGGTCCGATGGCGAACCAAAAGGCAGTTGCAGGCAGGTCAGGCCGTTTTGGAATGGGGCTTTGAAGAGAGCTGTGTCCAATGGCAAGCATATCATTTGAGAGGAGCTTGGCAGTTTAGGTGCCAAGGTGTGGCTGAAACTTGTCGTAGTGCGACGGAAGCCGTGAGAAGCAGAGCAAACAAATAATGCGTTGCGAAGCTGGTGCCGCATGGCGAGAGTGAAAATGCCTGGTCATGTAAGCCATGGTCGAAAAAAGGTGCTAGCACCGCCAAACTAGAGCGCCCAATGATCTCATGCCATCCCAACTTGACTAAAACTACTGGACATTTGCACATGAACCGCTTTCTGGACTTTGCCCCAAGCGACAACAAACATGAAACCAATCCTTGGTAACCCTGCTTTGACTCAGCCGCCCACCCAAATGTGAAGGACTCAAGTGGCTGTGGGTCAAAAATCCCGTACCCTGGTGAACATCCCAATCCCCACCAAAATAGGTTCTAAAATGGGTGGTGAATTCACCTACCAACCAAAATGGGATCCCAAAACGGTTTTGACAACCACAGCCATGTGTCGTTTTGAGGGCGCTGCAGAGACCCCAGCGTGGCCGGCAGCCAGCCCAGCAGTGCCTCACAAGGGACGGGGCTTGGTGGTGCTGGTTGGTAGTGGCGGCGGTGGGGTGATGGTGGTGCTGGTCTTTTGCTGCTTGCTGCTGCTTGCTGCTGGTGCTTCCGGTGGTGGTCAAGGTGCTCAGGGTTGGTGAGGGTGGGTGGTCAGGGTTGGTGAGGCTGGGCCACCCGCTACTAGAAAAAAGCAAAGCCTCTGAAATGGAATGGATAGGGGCATTTGCCAAAAGAAAAACAACGTCCTACACTTGGTTGGCTTTCTCTATGTTCCCTGTGAGGGCGGAGGTCAGACTGGGCCGCCAAATGTTCCCACTGGCAACAGATATGTGGCCCTCGCAGTCATGAAGCCCGGGAGTGGCAGCCGCGCTTCTGTTTGAGGAAATCCGATGCCGAGGCACAATCACGATTTTTTGTTCATGTCCCAGAACTTCCTCCGCCGAATTCAAAATGGCATCCTCAAAATTAAGAGGACCCCCCAAGAAGGGCTCTCCGCAAAGGGTATTGCTCTAGGAACGAGGGCTTCTCGCCGGATTCCGTGTTTCAATCTTCAGACGTCTCCTTTGCTTCGCTGAAACCACATTTTGAGCACGGGATCGTTTCTCTCGCACCTTGGAAGTGCTTTTTGAAGCAGTGCCCGAACACCAGAGTGTCTCATTGCATTCGGCCGCCATAGAAACGGTGGGTTTGCTCTGGAGTGTCTGCAAATCCCTGAGGGCTAAGGGGAAGGTTCTGTCGGCACTCTTTTTTTCTGGCTGACTGCCGCCCAATACGTAAAGCCAAAGCCAGCACCCCCCCCCCCCCGCCTCCCCTGGCCAAACTGGGATGTCCACATCTACCCCGAACAAAACATAGGTTGCCAACTCAAAAATGATTTCAAATATGTTGCAACACTACGTTTCCCAACGCTAAACCTGGCCATTCCCTGGCCATGCGACAACGGACCAGGGTAACCAGAGTTCCAGGTTTGTACTGATTTACACTGTGGTGGATGGACGGAATCCAATTCGCACCAAATTGAAACCATGGGAAACTACTGCTTGGAACTCCTGCACCACCTTCAAGACCCTGGAAGGATGATTCCCCTGTACATACCAACCATGGTTTCCCATGGTTTCCAAGTCGTGCGAAATGGATTTCGTCCATCCACAGTATGGTTCCGCATCCAGGTCCTCCAGTAGAGAGCTTAGAATAAACGTACCCAGTTTTTTCCTGTGGTCAAAATTTTAGTAGAGGAACCGAATCCCCCCAACAAAAAAAGAGAAATGGTACAAGAAAAGTTGCCCCTAGCTCGTAGCTGGGGGACCTGGCCATGCTCCTGGTCTCTCACCGACTTTTTGGGGCGTCCAATTTCGGCGCCAGCGAGGCCTCCGGCGCTCGCGGGTGTTGCTGAAGCGCCTGGCGATCGATCGAGGCTCCGAGGCTTCGAGGCTGAGCTGCCGAGGTTCACTCGGTTGACGTTGGATTTGGATTTCAACAAAACTAAACCACCATAAGCAAAAATAAGCAATGATGTGTCCCAACGACAAGGATGTACAGGGAAAAACTGGAGGGATTTTTCGATTAAAACTGGATGGGTTCCACTGATTTTTTTTTATATCTCCACAGGAAATGCCAACGGATTTCGCAATCCACTGCATCTGGCCATGCGTCAAAATCCCAAATCGGTTAGGCCTCAGTGAATATTTCAATCCAACCACTAAAATAGATTCTAAAATGGTGGTGCACCTACCCCAAAATGGTCCCATTGGTTTTGACCCACCTCCATCCAAATCAGGCAAACTTGGGACTAGAACGCAGGCGGCGTCCGAACATCAACAAACATATCATGCTAACAAACGTGTGGTTCTCTGCTGGAGGAATCAATGACGGGCCATGCTGCGACATGTCAAGTCAATTGCCAAAAGTATGACGCACCCGCAGACAGCCACAGACACAAACACAAACACCAAAACCCGCAGCGGCACACACATGTACATGCACACGCACACCAACACACACACACAGCACATACACACACACACACCACACCGCACCACACACACACACCAAGACACACACACACACAGAGAGACACACAAACACACAGACACCGGACCACACACACACAAACACCGAAACACAGACACACAACCACACAACCACACAACCACACCAACACACCAGCACACAAGCATAAACACACGAACACACACACACACAAACGCACAACCACAAACATGAACAGCGAGATCCAAACGTGTTGTTGCTGTTTAAGGGCAGCCCA